TATCCACCAAAGATTATGATATAGCAAAGAGGCCTGACCTTCCTTGAAATTCACATCTGCCCTGTGACTAAAGGATACTCGTGGCAGTGTAGTTGATTGGTTGGCGTGTGAAGCTCCCATCCTGTACTGTCGCGGTTCGACTCCCGCCGAGGGTGTTGATAAGACCGATGTGAGGTCGAAACTGCAGTCCACTGGTGCCTGGATGAGAACAACTTTTGGGAAAGCAAGGCTATGTGAAATTCAATGCAAAACGTCAGTTAAACTCAATAAATTGTGGGAAAATTCTTCTTCTACCAGTCCTTCATTACCTTAAACGAAATTTGGTGAATACATTTCATATTACTGATTTACTGGTAGTCTCGAAACTCTACTCTAATACGAAAAAACTATATGTGTCTTTATTTAATCCAGGTATATCCGACTGTACGCCAAACTATGCTCTGAGCGGTATTACTCCAGAACGGATTATTGTGTACTGGAATTTGCAATGTTCTAAAGAGCCTGAAGACTGGAAAACTATATCCTCTGGTCGAGACCAGTCCAAGATGTTGAGACCACACTTCTTTCGGCAATCCGTTCATCCAACTTTGCCAACAAGGACTTGGAATCTATTACAAGCCTAGCAGAACTTCGTCTCCCTAACTCCAGTAGAATAATTCCTATACGAAATAGCCTGTGCACAACAGATTCATAGTCTTCGGGCCGGCATCACTTTGGAAAAAGCAGCTCTCTCGCTGCAGCGAGAGGATACACGAAGTCGGACATGTTCTTCTAAGGACGTCTCCACCGCCTCCCAAGCTAGCGCGTTCCCACGCGACTTCTCCGCTTGTGTGCAGATCTCTTGTGACATTGTTGGCAAGAGTGTGCCCAATGCTGTACAGCCGGGCTCAAGGGAGAAGAAACGGTAAGGATGGACGGGGTGGAAGAGTGTTCACCGACTTGAGGGAGTGGGACTTGACATTTCAACTGGGCAATAGGTCCGTCTCTAAGCGCATATCAATCAAGACGACTTTTCAGCTAAACACGCTACTAAAAAGCTAGACCTCGACTTCATTGTTAGTCAGTTGCCAATGGAGGGCATCAAGTTAGGCGAATCTTATCTGTTTACATGTGGCGCGTTGCCGGGAGTACTACACACTTTCATACACTTTACTTATTCTGGTAACTTTGTACTGCTCCCCATTCCTCTGGGCTCAAAACAATGACAGCTCTTTTCTGTCCTTCCCTTGTGCTTCCGTTCTCTAGACTTCAGCATCCTCCTGTCCACTTCATCTCTACGCAGAAGATATTAACTTCAATTGCCTGTCATGCAAATGACATGTTCCACATTTAACTTATTCCCTCACATCCCAAATGCAAGAAAGCAGACGAACACGCAACAATAGGCATGCAGGCTTGCAGGCAATCGGACCTGCAAAAAAAGCTGCACTTATCGGGCAACAGAGAGCCACGTGATCCGCTGCAGCGGCACACTCAAGATGCGAAAGTAGCCCTCAAGCTGGTCAGGTCAAGACATTTGGTTACGGCAGCAACGAACACCAAAGGCCAGTTCGGGGAACGCTTGAACCGGAATTTGTTGGAAGATAATCAGTGCAATCGGGCCAAGATGTCTCTCATCATAAGGTTAAGAAGCAAAATGTATTGTACGTCTACTGAGATAAAGGCTCATTGTGAATGAATAAGATATGAGGAGAAAAGAAATTCAATTCGAAAACAAACATTTCTTTCCACATTTTGACAGATTGATATTCAACCCTTGTCTACAATTGCT